CTGCTGAAGTGAATAAAGTTCACTTTAGTAAAGCTTCTCTGCAGCTGGTCTGAGTCCGCGCTCAGGAACCATCGTACAAATAATCTCTCTTTGGGATCTTAAAGTCCTCCTGTTCACAATTACTATTTTTAAGCACTTGACAGCTAAATTTGACAGTACTGACATTTGTAGGCCTATAATGTAAGACAAATGTTGCAAACAAGACAGTGTGGGATCACGTGCAAAAAGTCATATAATTGGATAATGACCCAGGTTTTACTGCAGAGGGCCTCTGAGCAAAGTACGTCCAGGAAATTTCACTCTTTTCTGCAGCAACACCAGTGAAGTAATGCTGCGCTCAGAAAACAAAAGCATGAGTCTGGACGTGTTTCTGTCCAATTTTCGAAACAGAGAAAAAAACACATGGCCAATAAATTAAATAAAAAAATAATGGTGTTTTCAATGAAGGCACAGTTAATCAACTCTGACGGAAATTAGGAAACACTGCAGAAAAGCAAATATATGAGAAGTATTTTTCTTCCCCGTGGAACTCCCAAAAGACGTGCACTGTCCTCAGCCTACGTTTATATTCAAAGAGTCAAAAGGCTTTTCACGTTAAAGCGTTAGACAGATTTACTGAAGTGTGTGTATAAAACGTCACATGCCTTAAAATAGGTCTAGAATTTTCCATTCTTCTGGCCCGGATGTTTTGGTGATGAGAAAACTTGTTAAAGAGGTGAAACCTCAAGAATAGGTACAGGGCAAGACTGGAATAATGTGACACATTACTCTACAGCGCCTGCTGTCATATCAGCTCTCCGAAGGTCCACTCGTGTATTTACCAATCAAAAGTCAAAAGCACAAAGCAGAACTCACGGGTGCATCTGTTGTTGCCTTCAGGGTTCCTCATTCCAAAGTATCCCACGGGGCAGGAAGCGAGGCACACACCGATCTGACGGATGTCATTGCGCTCCAGGAAGATGAAGAGCTTGGGCTTACACTTGATGCAGCCATTGTACTCAGAGCATCGGTCACAGCCTTTGGGACAAGATGGCGGCCCCTCAGTACTAACTGTGGAAACAGAAGGTGGAGAGAGGAACAAAAGTACTGTGATACGAAGTCGCACCAAAACATCGGCAGCCCATCGTGATGTTAATGAGAGAGAATTCAAAGGTTTATTCCACAGATCTTGTCTTTCTGAAAACATTTGGCACTTGTCTTGTTATTGTCCTGGGGTGAAGTTGTGATGACGCCAGCACTTAACCACGACGACAAGCCGGGTTTCGTTTTCGCAGCTCTGTCTAACTGGAGTCCAAACGTCTTTCTCTGAATGGTTACCAATACTTAATGTTTACTCCAAACTTTGTGCTTTTTCATGAAGCTCAGTAATTCAGGCTGATGAAGCCCCACTTCTTTGAGGTCATCCTGACATTAGAGGCAGACATGATTAAACGATCAGAATCATTCAGAAATGATTTTGTACTGCTGGGTTTTTCCAGTAGTGCTGCCCGTCCATGTGCGTCCCCTGGTCTGTGTCTACTTTGAAAACAAACACGCAGTTTGTTAGAAAGTCACTTTTATAAAGTGTAGGTAAAGTGCAACAACTTTTTTTTTTTACTACAGTTGGGCAAAGACCAAATTGTACCGCCTGGATTTAAACTCCAGCCTTTTGCAGTTTATTTACTCTATCAGCTCAAAGTATAAATACTCTCACACAACAATCCATCTGCTGCGGCGCCTCCCACAGATAAGTAGGACTGGGTAGAAAGGTAGAACATTCTCTCTCACAAACTGATTACTGCACGGCTCACGCCATGGAAAATTAAATGTGAGACTCGGAACTAGATTACTAATACTTCTTTTTTAGAGATCGATTAGACCCTGAAACCAGGACATAAGACACTGTCTGCATTGTTATCTTTAAAGTCAGACTGGAAAAAAAGGGCAAAATAAAATAATAGCATCAATATTTTAAAAAAATACGTGAAGGCTGCTCCTGTGACATGTTTCACCTTTTTAAGGCTCTACCAAGACTGTTATTCATGTGTCAAAAGACGTTTGCACAGAAAGTCCTCAGATTACGATTCGATGTCGCCCATTTATCTCCCATAAATCTAAGAAAATCTTGTTGCATCATTCCGATGCACAGCATTAAAACTCAGTGGAGGAATACGTCGTTTATGTGGATGATGTGTTAGCATAGGTGAGTGACATAGGTACTTATGTACTGTGAGTAAGTCATGGACAAAGTTGGCACTAGGGACGGGGGGGACATGACCCCTCAGATTCAAAGTGTACGGGTCCAGGCCCCGAGGTTGAGAACATCTGCTTTACGTGGCAAATGAGCAAGTACTAAATCAAGCTGTAATGACTGTGACGTTGATGAATCCCACTAATCTAATCCCACTAATCCTTCCTTCACGATGCGTTCGTCACCAGTCCAGGCCATAAAGAGAAATTTTTCACCTGCTGGATTTCAATTTTATAAAATACCTTCCAGAAACGTACTCCTGCTCTTGACTCCTGTTCAGCTGCATGTTTTTTTTTTTTAATCCTTTTATTTGGTGTCACTTATAACAGACATTGCACCAAGTGGGTGAAACTGGAACAGCAGCTTGTTAACATAATATGTCCCCTCTTAATACAGTGAAAATATAAGTAGGAGCACCAACGTAGCAGCTGTGAGTCCGACCGCTGCTGCTGGCGACACACACTGGGACAAAGAAAAATGTTTCTACTGCCCGGGGTAATGTGTGCTGCTCTTCTCACTGGTGCTTGGGGTTTGATCTCTGCATGACAGTTGATTCATTTGGAGCAGAGGACACATTGAGTAATTCCCATTGTTGTCTCCTTGCTGCCTGCCAAGTGTAGAAAGCACAGAATCTAATCACATAAAGCTGTGAAAGAAAAGAAACTTTTAGAATCACCCCGACTGTCGATGGTGCAGGACTATGGAGTTCAGACGGAGGCAGGTTTGAATTCGGGCCATGGAAACGTCCTGCACTCTCTATCAAATCAACAGTTTCCCTCTGTGTCACTTTACATACACAACCTGTTTCTTTGGCCCAAACACTGAGGCATTCAAGGAACTCTTGTGAAACTAACGCCACAGGAAGAACTTTGGTGTTTGTCAAACCCTCGTTAGACCCGAAGAAGAAGTTTTTCTAAATCTCTAAAGTACGACTCAAAGCCCAGTGAAGTGATCGTGACATGTTATGGCCTGGACTAATGTTTGCAAAAACAGCAGCAGCACTATCCAATTGAGTGCTTAGGACTGTCAGGTACTCCTTCCATCATGTGCCCGCAGAGACCGACTCACCAGGAAACGAGTCTTTGAGGGCAAATGCCTCCAAAACCTCACTCTCTAAACAACCTTAATACCCATAAAGTTTTACATAAACTGAGAGAAGGATAATCTCATGTAAGACCCCAAAAAAGACCAGAACCACCCAGGCCCGGAAAAACATAAAAGAAGAATTACAAAATAAACAGAGTGTTATCTTTACTTTGCATGTTTGGTGTTTACAAGACGTTCGCCGCTGTGACTCAGACCACAGTAACAAAAAGGCAGCAGCTCTGTGGAGGACGAGAAAAACAAATACAAACGTACGGAGAGAGGGAGACGACTCACCCCGTCTTTGCCTTCTTGCCTTTGAAAGCTTCAGATCGTCACTATGACCCATAGAGCTGATGAAGATTATTGCCAGCGCCACCAGTCCCAGCTGCATAGTCCCTGTTGCCTTCCCCCCCGTGACCAGATGGTTCAGGTAGGGGGGGGACCCCTTTCCTTTGTGGGACAAGTGGACCTCTCTCCTGTTGGGACGGATGATTCCTCCTCTCCTCTGTGTCTCTGTTTCACCCTGTCCCCCCCTTCGTCCTCAGGCTCTCTGTGTGTCGTTCACTCCGGTCTCTGCTGCGAGGCGCGGGGCAAAACCGTTGTTGCAAGTCCAAATAAGTCCAAGGCACGAAAAACCTTCACACTGGCACCGCGGCTGCTGGCAGACCCTCCCCTGAAGAAGGGCTGTGGGATGGAGGTCACGGTGGTGGGGGTTCAACCCATGAATCACAGGCTGGACCAGCAGGTTAGGAAGGGAACCTGTTGTTGGAGGACAGTTTGTGGTCAGAACCATGTGTGTTATTGAAATGTTAGCTCGCTTGAGGACAATTTGCCGATAGGTTCTCCATTAGCTGCACTAGGACCAGACCCAAATAGTGCAGTTAATGTTTGGTCTTGTTAACAGTCGGCAGTGATTGTTGAGAGAACTTTTTTTTCTAGTCATTTTTAATTAAAATAATCACGGTTAACCAGGTCCAAGAGAACCTGAAAAAATAGAACTAAAGATATTCATTCATTCATTCATTCATCCAACCATCCAACCATCTTCTGGAGATGAATGAATGAATGAACTGGAGTCGATCACAGCAGCTATAAACCACTGCACCCAACCAAATGTGACCTCTGTTTTTAATCACTAAAGTGAAGAGTTTGGTCGTTAACACTGCTGTTATCTTGTGACACAGCTAAAGAAGTTTTAAAAATTGTATTTGTTTCACTGCCTCCCCCAGCACTAGCTCTACACCCCGCTGTTGGGGCCTACTCCCCCCCGACCTCCCACCTCCCTTTATGTGACTCACTTGTTAATCATAAACACAACCCAGTTCCTAATCTACATGTTTTTGGACTGTGAGGAGAAGCTGTAGTAAAAATTTAAAAAGCTGTGTTTACACTTGGACCATCAGCCCATCTGTAATTTTCTGGGTTATGATTTGTTATTAAAACCCTTGTCTTCAGCTGGGCCGGCTTCACTCAACGTCAACAATGTGTGTTGATTGGATTTTGTTCATTTTGGATCAGCACCAGGTTTCGTTCTATATTTTCTTTGATCCGACTGTGGAACCGCATGATCTCGGCGTCGGCCGTCTAATGAGGTTTTTTTTTCACTCCGTGAAGACGACACTTATTATCTGTCTGTTTTCCACTGCGAAGCAATTGGACACGTGTTGTGTTTCGTGCAGCAGTCTTCATCAGAAAGTGTCAAACAGCATCTCTATTTACAGCTCTGGTGTGAATAGGAGAACGAGGGAGGGGAGGGAAGCGGAGGGAGGTCCTCCCTCTCTCATACATCCATATTTGGCTCTGGAGTTGCTCGTAGAACTAAATCAAACTAAGGACAATGTCTTTGGTTTGTCTAAACATTCCAGCCCAAAACACTGCATTCTTAGAAAAGGAAAACAATAACAGACCAATAAAATAAAACGCATTATGGCACGTTAATACAAATGAGGCAAAACAAACAGAAGGAGATTTAAATTCCATTCATTAACAAACGCCAATGGAAAAAAGTCTGATTTTTTGGGGGGGGGTTGTTAAAACCAACAAACTCAAATATGGGAATAGTTTAAAAATCCTCTGTCTCTTATTGTTTGTCTCAGTATTTTTTTAACAGATGTAAAAAATGAAAACCTCTCAATGACATTAAACATCATCTGCCATTTGGGGCAATTTATTTGGGGTATTGTATATATTCAAAATGCAGTTTCTGCTGCCTGGCTGCCAAGGACATGGGAAGATACAGGTGTTCTGTTTTGGCCGTACTAGCTGCTAGCTACTAACTTTTGGTTGTCGTTTTGTATCAAACAGCTACATTTGCTTATATACAGCTGCCTAAGACTTTTGCATCATCTTGTCGAGCAAATCCTAAAGACCGTTTACAAAAAATATATATACCTAAAAGCTCTGCACTTCAGAGACCATGTCAGCTGACCAATCGAAGCCTCTCGTTTAAATCAGAGCTCAGCTTTAACAAGACATCAGGAGATTTTTCCTTTTCTCACCAGTTTCTGGTCGTCGATAAAACATAAAACTGCCATGTTTACAGTAAACCACGATGGAGGCGAGGAGGTGAGCCTCTTAAATCCTCTTTTAACAGCTACAATGACTTTGTCTGTTTGCCTCTTGGTACTTTTGGACCCACACCTCTGAGCTGAAGTCATGTCTCCAGAAACAGCACCTGTTTGTTTTTTAACCAGTGACTAATGGAGAACAGCTCAAGCTAAAGCTTTGGAGAGCGAGCGCCAAAGACGCTCTCATTGGCCAGCACTCCCGTAACTCTGCGACCTGCCCAAAAAAAATCGACCTCAACGCATTCCGTGTCCTCGCTCACCTGCGGCAGACAAAGCCGCCTGAGCGGTGCACACTTAACCCACGGAGAAAGTTGATCTGCGTCGACCTACGTCTGCTTCACTGAGTCTTTTTGTCGACGCGTCATTTGAAGAAACGCTCGTGTCTCCGGAGCCAACGGTGGCACCTGATGTTTGGAAACTTCTCTTTCTCTGCTCCGTGGTGTGTTTAAACGTCTTTCCTCGCCATCAGTCACATTTAGCCGTGGCTGGATGAAACCAGGCCCTGCACTCATCAAATAGTCAGGAGGTGAAATTGCTCTCTTTGTCAACTCTAAGTGTGTTTTATCAATTATTCAGGCGGTGAAACGGAGCTCCCGTCCTGGGAATGGATTGAACTTCTGAAGGTGCCACATCTGTGAACTCGAACCCACGGTGAACCCTTTCTCCGTGTGACTAAACCTATTGGCATATTTGGGAGGTCAACAAAGACCTCGGGCGTTTGACTCACGCCAGAATAACTGGGAGGAAGACGATACAGTTGTGTACGTATTAGAAACACGTCTGAGTCACCCAGGGAAGAGAAAGTAGAAAACAAGAGGCGAAAGTTTGAATTCCAGGACATTTTCTTCAGTTTCCACTGAGGAGTCATTAGTTCTAGCTTTTATATTAACAGAGTTTTACCCCCTCCACTTTGTCCATACGTCTGTTTCACAAACTAAAGAAGCCTCTCATGGAGAGGAAGCGAGAAGATCATAAAATACTGTGAATATCGTGACAATTCCAGATTATCTTAAATTTTTAAATAATACTTTCACTTCAGTCAAAACCCCCCCAAAAAATCAACTTGGCCTCAGAGGTGGTTTTTACTGATCACTGTCTCTTAAAGTAAATGTTGTCTTTTCATAAAGTAAAACTTTGGAGCAGACTGGAATACTGTGGTTGGTATAAAATACTCAGTACTACCAGTACGGGTTAAAAACACTTAGAGATCACAATGAGACACAGATACTCTCGCGCAAATTTTGTACACTTGGTCCTACTGCCTTAGCCTGAATTTGTATTTTTACCAACAACTCAATATAACATTAATATTATTCACTGTATAAACTGTACATTCACACAGGTTCATTTCTATTCGTCTTAATTCTAATTTAAATCTAATGTAAAATCCGATGAGGAAATGGAATTGACCAAACTTTTTTTTGTGAGTTCTGGGCTGTACAGACAGCGCGGACTTGACTTCAGCCCACATGATCCACAGTTGTCCCACACGGTGATGCTGTTTTTCAGTGACGATCATCTGTAACGTACTAAAAACGCTGCTCAGACTGAAGTCTGAGAGAAACAAAACTGACATTTCTGATCAATTCTGGTCAAAGTGATATTTTCATTACACAACATACAGTAGACCTCGGTGGTGCTTTTTTTCTTTTTACATCATCATCAACAAAAGTAGATCCCCATTTTAAGAGAAATGATACCCTCCTCCTTTATTTTCACAGCACCTGACCCCAAAAATGCCCCCACTCCCACCCACCTCCCCAAGGACCAGACGGTGACATCTGATCACAACTGTGTTCTGTGTTACAATCCATGTACAAATGAATAAACAAAAATTGAGTATAGGATTTTTCAAAATCCATTCAGACTTAATGTTTTTAAATTACTTTGTACCATTTATTTTACTTTAATACGGATTGTATTAACAATACTGCTGTATTACTATAAAGTATTACTGCTGAGGACTGAAGACAACGATGGTTCTGTAGTTTATCAACAGCTACAACAGTTTTAACCTCAAACCCGTGATGATTATTGATAAGACTAACTTCAGCTGTATACGTCACACACACCCGAACACACACACACACCAACAGATGAAAGTCTGAACCCACCTGTACCTCGGGGTCCCCGGGTGTCGCCGTTCATTGAGCGGTCACTGCTCAATTTCCTTTTTTATAAGGGAAAATCCGTTAGTCGTTGGGTGAAAAAACAACTCCTCCTCCTCCAGGAGCCCCCCATCATCAAACTTCTGTCTGCCGTCATTTAAAAAGAAACACGAACCGTTTCACTTCTCCTCTCTCTCTCTCTCTCTCTCTGTCTCTCTCTCTCTCTCCCCCCTCTCTCGAGTTCCTGCGCAGTGGAGATGATGTTGATAACACACCGAGAAAGGTTGTTTAAAAGTATTCAAAGAACACATTTATACACAGATATTACGATGCAACGCGTCACTCTTGACGAGCTCCGCGAATGGACGCATTCGCACCGACGCCCCCGTCAGTTGCCCCCTCCGTTAGAGTCCAGAGATGCGTCGAGCTGCATCCACGCAGACGAGCGAAGTCACAGCGGCGTTATATTTGCATCCAAAGCCCAGAACCGCCAGCGGGCAAATCCCACTGGCCCCACCCCTCTGGTTCCGACTGAGAGATTATAAAAAGAATCCACACTCACACGTACGCACATGCAATACAAACCGACAAGCTACAGTATGTTCACCTTAAATACAAAATACAACTTGTTTGCGGCTGAACGCAGCCTCACCTTTACAAAAAAAAAACCAAAAAAAAAAAACCAGCTTATATCTATCCGAGGTTTGTGGAGTGTTTTCACCAGTGAGTGTGTGAGTTAGTGTGTGTCGTCATCAGATGTAGTCCTTAGATCTAAAATAAAGCACTTGTCATCAGAGCGTACGTCTTACAGCGCAGCAGCCTTCAAGGTATTCCAGGTCAAGGACCCCCAAACTGATGGAGAGATGGAGCAGGGACCGCGTACTATATGCTAATATACTTAAAAAGATACACATACATAGTACAGTATACATACATATACTGTATGTATGCATATATTTATACATAAATGTAGGTATATATGTTACTGTATGTATGCATATATTTATACATATATATGTTGTAGTTATTTATGTACATATACATATAGAAATATAATGTATATATATGTTTAAATTATTTTTAATTAATTTTAATAAAGTCTAATCAACCTGTAATATCACTAATGTCCTGTAGGATCTCCACCGACAGCTTAAACACATCTACAACAGTGGTTCTCAAACTGCGGTATGTGTGTTACTGTTGGTACTTGAGCTCCCTCTAGTGGTGTGAACCCCCCTAATAAATCTGTATGATGAAGTACTACAACTGGTACTTACAGTATATTCAATCTTGACATCAGACACATTATGGTTTTCTATTCTTTTCAGTATTTATATTCTTCCTCCGTCAAGTACTAGAGGAAGCCTGTGGACCCCCTGTGCTACGCGTACCATAGTTTGAGAACCATTGCTACAGACTAACTGTTTTTTCTTTTAACTGTATAAATCAGATCATCGTAAAGCAGTGTAACATTTGCCTAGAACTTTTACAGAAGAATCTCTGCAATCTGTGCACTCACCATTAGATGTCACTAATTCTAACTTACTGGATTTATTACTAAAAAAGGAAATAACCAGGCGCGGACCCTCTCACTTTAATTTATAGGATTAAACTATAACCCAGAGTTCACTGCAGCGTGCTGTAAATCCAGACAAAGCCGGTGGGTTGTGATTAAACTCCCATTCTCTTGATCAGTATGTTAATAGCCGTTTGGGCTGGTGGTTTATGGGAAGTGGATTTCTGGTATTAGAGGCCGAGGAGATTTTTCTTAGCCTATTCTGGCTTTTTAAGCAGTGATTGAAGATGTGATTTTCATTCGGTTGAAGGGATTTTGAAACGTGCTAAGTCGTCTCGCTCTGCTTTTCTATAAATGTCAAGTTGTATCACCGCTGCGCTTAAACTGTACCAAAAATGACATTTCAAAAACTGCTCCCCCCCCAACCCTCCGCTCCCTCAGGAGGGCAGTAAATGTTAACAAGTCGTCTGTATAGATCTGTTCATACAGGGATGTTAAATATATTTCCTTTTTATCCAACAGAGGGCCATAAACAACAATTCTTGGAGTTCTTACAGACCAGCATTCCTTGTTTTGAGACTGTGACATTTATCAACAGTGTTACGATGAAAAGTCCTACTGGATAAACACCAGCCCCATTCAGCTACACTTATCGGATTTATCATGAGAAGTAAGTTACAGTTCGGCCTGTTTGTTTTTCTGTCTGCTCGCCAAGAAATCAACAGAGCAGGGCGCCTGAACGCAGCACATCATCACTTTATCTTTGGGTGATGCAGTTTGAGGTCGGAGTCGGAGGTCGCGCTGTACGTCTGTTTGATTTTGGTGGAGGAAAAAAAACGGTCAAAGCTAATTGGGAAAACTCAACTCGAAAAAGGTTATGGATAATATATGGACAGAGCGACTGATTCAAACCAGAGTTGGACATTTATTAACTTCCCTTAACGTACACATAAAACTGAGAAATACACCCAGACTTCAGTAGTAAAAACAGTACATGTAGTAAAAGAAGGGCCTCACAACGAGCACCGTGCTTTAGATGTGATGTAATTTCACACAAGGTTTAGATAAAATACATTTGTCTATAATAAAATGACTGAATGAAAACAAAAGACCTCAACACAGTAATAGTGTCAATTAGTGATGTCCAATATTATCGGTCGGCCGATATTGGACATCCTCTTTTGGGTACTCCTGTAGTTCAGAAACCTACCTGTATGTGGCACTTAGCAATGGTAACATGCCATTAGCACTTAGCCATGTAACATCACAAATGTGGAATTTGGCCATTATGGTGACGTACATTTTTCCTACTTCACTAGCAGTTTAACCAGGGATGTCTGATAATATTAGCTGACTGATATTATCAGCCTGATATTAGCATAATTATGTCATATCTGTAAGATTTGTTGTTTTTTTTTCTCCGATAATGGGAACCTGATAACGCAATGTCTAAGTTGTCTAACATCCTTAGTGTCGGTTAAAAAAAAGTTTTCTTAAAATTACTACCTTCTAAAGAGAAGTTAAAAGTTGAACCATTTAAAGCAGGTTTGACTCTTTGTCTCCCCTGGTCCACATGGACCATGTGACAAGGACTCGTCCACTCTGTTGACCTACCTCACAAACCATTCCACCATTGTACTGTTACCCACATCATATAAATTATTTTAATGCAAAAAGTCCAACAGAAGCATGACGTTATACTGCGATTGTACGTTAAGAAGGCAAATGACAAGTAGCTTTTCAGGGCCGGCCAACTGGACTTATTCTGGAAGCATTTCTTGAGCGACTTTGACACACTGTTAAGTCATGAGGACGTCCTCGGCCTGCCAACAGACGGCCCGGGGGAGCCCTAAACCAGAACCAGACAGTCTTTTTGTATCAGATGCTTATGCATGCAAATATTGCAAAGTCGACTTTATTAGGGCCATAATTTCTGTCACTGCCTAAAAGCCAAGTGTAGTTATGGCCGATGTAATGCCTCCAGGATAGACTGTAGAGCAGCCAGTTTAAAGAGAGGTCTGGGGATTAATGATGACTAATAATGGGTTTATGACTCCAGCACCGTGACTGTGCAGAAGACTCAGAATGTCAGGGTTTTCTTTTTTTTTAAATGATGAACCTCCAAAAAAAACCACATCCAAAATGTAATAATATCCAGGTATTTAAAAAACCATCGATCAAAATGAGCAGGTTCTATAAAACATGTGACAAAAAGCAATTAGCAGAGAAAACCAGTAACTCCTCTGAACGATGCACACATTTCTGTGCTATTGCTAGGATGGGGGGGGGGCTCCAACTTGTGGCTCCCGGGTCTACCTGCTGCTCTTTAGTCTCCTTGCGTTGGTTCCCTGCAATGGACCAAAATTAAACGACAGAGGAGAAACAGCCATTCACTCACATCCACACTCGCATTCACACCTAGGGTCAGTTCAGAGTGAACATATGGCCAAATTCCACATTCATGATGTTACATGGAAACATACTGTTGCTAAGTGCCACCTACAGGTAGATTTTTGGACTATGGGTTTACCCCAAAGAGGTCCGCAGGCCCCGTGTTGGAGAATCCAGCAGTTGTTTTTTTTCACTCATTAATTATGGTGAGAACCAGTCGTATCTGTAAGATGTCGTATTTCGTTGGCGGCCGAGGATTGGGTTTCAAACAGAGTCCTGGTGGTGAACCTTTCAACCCTCACTGTAACCGTGTTATCTCTGAAACCTTATTAGTTTTATTAAAGACAGGAACTCTGGCACTGTCGGAGCGGGAGTACCGCAGTTGACAGTCATCAGAACTATCGTAAACATCATGTGCGAAGCCGTTAATCACACCACTTTACTCAACATCAACATTATGATTGTGAACATTTACATAAAACAATTCCTCTCCGCTGAAAAAAAAAAAGTACGTCCAGGTCTAAATGTTATGGGAAACGTTTTTCTTTGAACGTCGTCCCAACGCTTGGAAGTAAAGATTGATCACATTTGAAACAACATGCCAGAGAGTCCACCGCTGCCAACATGTGTTTGCCATATTGGTCCTTGAATGAACAACCAGGATAATACCTTACCTTCACGCACGCGAGGCACGTGGTCGCTGCGATCGAAAGTTAATCAATCTCTGACACTGTACTACTGCAAAATATTTACCGTACTCTAAACGTTTGGTTTTAAACATCAAATCTTCTTAACTGAGCTCTTACTTTTGAGACATTTTCATACTGAATAATCAGTTTATTTAACGTGTTTTTCTTGTGTCGATAATCAGATAAAAGTTCGGAAAGAGACGGCCCTCTATATAAACCTGATTGTTATTCATTTATTTTACATTTGCCTTCACAACATCTTCCAGAAATACATGCAAAAAAAACCTTTCTGGTCTCAGGCAATTTGAACCAGGTGAGCACCATGTTCTAAGATTTCAGCTCGAGAAGAGGGAAAAAAAACAGTAAAGAAATTTAATTTACTCACTACAAAGGATTCACATCTGCGATTTGACCGGGCTCTGTGTAATTTAGGTTATAGCAAAGATAGGTTTTGTTTTCGTGCTGGTAGCCAGTGTCAGTTCACGTAAGGTGAAAGACGCTCGGTCGCTTCTCATGAAGATATGATACAGAACATCCCGGGTCCAGAGAGTGGAAGAGGCCCACAACGATATGACAGATTGATTCTGACTGCAACACATGTTTGTAGGCACCAGATGTGAGACGCACACACTGCAGGTGTCTGCGCTCAGTGTCTTTGTTCACATGGCAGAAAAAAAGGGGGTCTTCAACTGGTGGTTCGGGGTACCCAAATGTTTTCTGCAGCGCCTCCTTTTTGTAGGTAGAACTATTGTCACAACAACAATCGCTTGATGACTCAACTGTATATACGTACAGGTCAAACACAACTTGATTCATATTGGGTGGGGGTGTCCACAGACTATGGGGGGGTAGGGGTGCACATGTAAATACTGTATATTTGTGTATATGTTTATGTAAGTATTAGCAACAATTATAGTTATGAATTGTGATTAATGGCTTGATTG